AAAGAGAAACAGGTTTATTAACTACCAGATTTGTGTGCGGTCCTTTTGTTTTCAGCCTCATAGGATCTGATCAAAATACAGCTTCCCCTGGGAAATTAGGTTTCTTCTCTACCCCTTCACGGCCATCATGCTGCTCATTTGTAATACAGTGAGGTTAACCCCTGATGGTCCGCATTCCATGTTGTGTTCCCTCTGCCACCTAACTGGTCTTATCACTGAAAGAGGACCCGCGTTGGCATCTCAGGAAGGGAGGCGTTGAATCTTTATCTTTAACATAAATAGTCTTTATTTCTGGTCAGTGTGCCCTCTTCCTTAACAATTAAAGCAGGTGTACAATGTATGTTTGATAGGCCACAAACAGCCTTAATTTTAGCTAGCCAAAAATTCAGGTTAACTCACGGATAAGCCAGAATGGCTTCCCCACATCTCAAAATGTGAAAATTTCTTTTATCAAACATCTTTGGTGCCCTGCCTTTGTCAGTGCGTATACAGCCGGGCCTCGGTGTCTGCCATTCCTGTATTGGTAAATCTGTCTACTGAAATGTATTTTGAATCCCAAAATCAGCACAGGCACAGCTCAGGAGGTGGTGCAGAGTGGGTTCCAGACCACTGCCACACACAAATATCGCAAAATGCAAGTCACGTGGATGTTTTGGTTTCCCAATGTGTGTAAAAGCTATGTTACACTCTTCTGCGGTCCATCAGGTGTGTGATAGCCTTATGTCTGTAAAAACAATGTGCAGACCTTAATTAAAAAATGCAAAACAAAAAACCAGTTACATTAATAACGCCAAAGTTGACTGAGCACAGGTCACCCTCACAAATAGAACAGCAATGAAAAAGTTGGAAATATCGTGGGAAGGACCAAAATGTGACACAGAGACACGGAGTGAGGAAATAAGTGCCCTTGACAAATGGCCCCGACAGACTTGCAGCGTGCTGGGCTGGCCTTTAATTGGTAAAAAACGTAATACCCGAGATGCTGCGGGCTTGCCCTGCAGAGAGCGCGCACGGGATCGATGAGCTTTGTTCAGGCACTGGCCGTGAGTTCAGTGTTTGTGGATCAACAGTATGCATCAAGGAAGGTGTCTTCAAACAGAAATACACCTCACATAACGTTGTGCATTGACAGTTGAATATGTCATGACCGGAGTTTTGCAGGACCCTGATGAGAAGTGGTTCGGTCCTGAATTCGGCGTCTGCCGGGGCTTTCTAGAACCTGACTACCATGAGTGACGAGCACGGGCCACGTGTGTCCCTGGGGCTGGCCCTCCTGGCCCGGCCGTGGAGGTAGGGTGGCAGCGGGCAGACGCATTCATGGCCCTCTCTGGCGCAGGTCATCCCGCAGGGAGACGCCCGGGTCTCGCTGACCTACAAGTACATGATCCATGAGGACTCGCTCAACGTGGACGACAACAATGTCCTGGAGGACGACTCCGTGGGCTATGAGTGGGCCCTGAAGAAGTGGTCCCCCTGCTCCAAGCCCTGTGGCGGAGGTGAGGGCCTTCTCAGAGTTGGGGCCCCGAGGGGGCCCGGGCCGGGCCCACAGTCCCTGCTGGCTGTCTGGCCTGAGGGACGAACCATGTATGAGGAGACTGGCCCCAGGACCAGGGAGGCTGAGCCAGTGACCTCTGCCCGGGTGACCAGGGCCTAGCCTCACCTGGGAAAGGGGCAGAGGGCGGGCAGGAAGGGTGGGTGCTCAGGGCGGCCGGCCAGAGGCAGCCAGGGGGCACGTGTGGGGCCTGGACGGCACCAGCACGCACCTGCGTCCGTGTGGGCGGCAGGGCTGGCCTGGCTGGAGGTGGCTGTGACGGTGGCTTGGGTGGATTCCTGTGACATCACACGCACGGGCAAAGGAAAGACACAGGCCATGCTGGAGACCAGGGCCGCTCTGCAGAGGATCCTCCTAAAAGGCCTTTCCTTCCCGGGGCAGAGCTGGGTGCAGAGGGGTTTCACCTACTCCAGACCTCAGAGAGTCCACAGTCGGGTGGGACATACAGACGGACAGGAAGTTCTGATCTGCTTGGTGTGGTCACTGCTCCTTGCAGTAAGGGAAGCTGGAGGACATAGAGGCAGGAGAAGGCGGCTCAGCCTGCAGGACGGAGCTCCCTCAGATGCCATGAGGGGCCCCACGCCTTGAGGACACAGGGGACTTCGCTGAGGGGCACCCACTCCCAAGCCTGGGCAGGTGGAAGGTGCTCCCCCAGGGCCCCTGCCTGGGCGGATGGCACCCCCTCCTTCCACTGAGCCTCCCGGCCCCCCGGATTTCACGGGCACATCCTGCTGATCCTCCCTCCTGCGTCTCCCTCAGACCCATCTGCTGTTACTGCCTTCCTGGTCCTGGCACCACCCTCACTGCCCCGCTGGCCTTTGTGTGTCCACTCTTGCTCCAGAGTGACCCCTGTAGGACAGATCAGACTGTGCACCTCCCTGGTGTCATAGGTTTCAACAGCTGCCTCTACTCTTGGGCTCAAAAGCAAAATTCTCCTGGCCTCCAAGGTCTAAGCTGACTGCTTCCACTGTATTGGTGCCCCCAGCCCTGGCTCACCAGGCCCTGTCCACACTGGCCTCAGATGCTTTTCCTGGACATGCTGTGCTCCTGCCTCAGGGCCTTTGCACAGGCCATCTCCTCCCCCCGAGAGCCCCTTCCACCACCTTCTCACTAAACCAGCACCCCTCCATCCTCTGTTTCCTGGGACACGTCTCCAGACACCCAGGCTAAGTCAGACGGCCCAGCCATGTTCTCTCATGCCTTGCCCACAAGGCCGAGGTTTTGAGACCTCGGCGCTGTCGACATCTTGGGCTGTGTTATTGTCTGCTGTGGGCACTTTCTCACGCCTTGTAGGATGTGGAGCAGCATCCCCTGCCTCTACCTGTTAGATGTCAGTGGCATCTCCCCCAGTGACAACAAAGTGTCCCAGACTTTGCTAGATGTCCCCAGGGGACAAAATCGCCCCCTGTTGAGAACTGCTTCACTAGATGGTGGCGGAGGGAGCCTTGCAGGCCGTGTTCTGTGTTTAGCCAGGTCCTCAGTGCATAGTATCTCAAGGTGGAGAAGATGACTCAGCGATGGGGGAGGAAGTAGGGCCTCCCTCCTGCCCCAGGAAACCAGCCAACAGGCCAGGGGAGAAGCTGGCCAAGCTCCCTGGCCTCTCACCCTCATTTGGCCTGGGGTACCGGGTGGACACCACCCTGGACGTCTCTAGGCCTGGCTTGGGGAGGACGTCTCCATTGGCTGGGTGGGGAGGACGAGGCTGGGGGGGCCCCAGCGCCCCATGGAGCCCCCTCGAGCTCTCGTCTTCAGGGTCGCAGTTCACCAAGTATGGCTGCCGCCGGAGGATGGACCACAAGATGGTGCACCGAGGCTTCTGCGACGCCCTCTCGAAGCCCAAAGCCATCCGCCGGGCTTGCAACTCGCAGGAGTGCTCCCAGCCTGTGTGAGTGCCCCGGGCTCCCTGGCTCCCCCGGCCCCGAGCCTGGGGCCCCCCTGGAGGAGGGGAGGGCAGAGCCCCGGACTCCTGTGGAGGGAGGTGCGGGATCTGGGCCCCCAGGGTCACTCTGGGCCTCACATCCCCTGAGACGTTTGATGGATTCTTTCTCACTCACCGTGTTTCACGGTGTCTTAAGATGCTGCGAGGCGCCCCCCTGCTTCAGACTTCTGAACGGAAACAGTAATGTGCCTCTTAGTAGTGACGACAGGTGTTAATGCTCAGATGGGGAAACTGAGGCCCCGCGGATGCAGGGCTCACTTCTGTGGAAGATGTCTCCCCAGCAGCTCATTGCAGGGGCTGCGGAGCTGACCCTCTGGCCCTGGGGTCTGGCAGGGCTGCATTTTCAGGCCCAGGTTCCTTTTGTAGGGTCTGGAGTGGGGAAGATGGTGGGTAAATAGGCAGGTGGCAGCCATACAGGGACAGATGCTAAGGTCATCCATGCTGCCGGAAGGGTTTATGATGTCAGCGGAGGCTAGGGTCAGAGGGCAGAGCCGGGAGCCTAAGGAGAAACAGGTTGGCAGGGCCCCTCAGTCCTGGGTTCTCCATGGCCCCCCACCCCCAACCAGGGCCTCCCAGCAGTGGACATGCACGGGGTCCCTCATCTGCAGGACCTCAGACAGAGGCACAGCTGGCCTCCAGGGCGCCTTCATGACAGCAGGGAAGATGGGCCTGGGGGAGCCAGCTGCCCTCCCTCTGTCCACCTGGTTGTCCGGGGCTGACCGTGGGCTGCTCTGCCCTGGCAGGTGGGTCACGGGCGAGTGGGAGCCATGCAGTCAGAGCTGCGGGCGGACGGGCACGCAGGTGCGCTCCGTGCGCTGCGTTCAGCCGCTTCACAACAACACCACGCGCTCCGTGCACACCAAGCACTGCAATGACGCCCGACCCGAGGGCCGCCGCGCCTGCAACCGTGAGCTCTGCCCTGGTCGGTGGCGGGCAGGACCCTGGTCCCAGGTAAGCAGCCCCCCGCCCTGTGTCCTCAGCCCCCACACCAAGCTTGGGTGGGACTGAGGTGGCCAGGGTGGTCCACCTTGGCCCGGGTGCCGAGGTCTTGCCTTGGGCCATGTCCTGTAGGTCCCAGGGCACTGGTAGCTCCACGCAGCGAGTGCTCTGCTGAGAGACCCAGAGGAGTGCGTGTCTTTACTCTGCAGGGCAGAGGCTCCCAGGTGCTATGGGGGCCTGGACCCCCAGTAAACAGGGCAGCCTGGGCTCCGGGACACAAGGAGAGGCCTGAGCTTTCGTTTCTGGGGGTGGAGGTTAAACTTGCAGGAGGGGACACGAGCAGGGGACAGCTTACACTTGGGCCGGAGGAGCAGTTCTGGGGGCCGAACTGAGCTGATGTGAGCACTGACATCCAGCCCACAGGCCTGGTGGGTCGGGGTCCCCACGACCAGATTCACTCAGAAGGTGCTGCACTCCTGATTACGCTTTATTCTAACAAAAACACAGAGCAGAATCAGCAAAGGGGAAAAGCGCTTGGGTGAAGTCTGGAGGAAGCCAGGCGCAAGTGTCCAGGCATCCAGGGTCTGCACTGGTGATCAGTCACACAAGCACAGGGTGCCTGCGCGCTGGACATCCGGTACTGCAGCCCCGGACCCCAGAGGGAACGCGGCTGCTTGCCAGAAATCACACTCGTGGTGTGAACCAACCAGACAAGCTAGTGCAGCCTGATCCCAGGCCTCGGGCATCCGAAGCATGCTCACCCGACAGATCCGTCCATGAACTTGGCTCCCAGGAGCCACCCAAGGCCCAGTCCCAGAACCAGGCCTTGCCTGGGGCTGGGCAAGTGTGAGCAGCCCAGGTCGGCTGAGTCAGCCCCGCCCCACACGCGGCGGGGACTTGAGAATCATCCTTAGGCAGGGCTGGGCTGAGCTGAGGACCCAGAAGTGCCAAGGCCTGTCCAGCCCTGGGTATTCGCTCTCTCTAACCCACTTCAGAGCCCAGGAGATTGAGGCAGCTGCCCGGGGCCAGGGCAAGGCCGGGCCGGCCTCTCGCTCGCAATCTCCCCTCTGTCCTTCGCCACCTCCCACATGCGTGGGGGGCCCTTCCAGAACCAGCCTGACTGGTCACTCTCTGCCTGCAGTGCTCGGTAACCTGTGGCAACGGCACCCAGGAGCGGCCCGTGCTCTGCAGGACCATGGACGACAGCTTCGGCGTCTGCCGGGAGGAGCGGCCTGAGACGGCGCGGATCTGCAGGCTCAGCCCCTGTCCCCGTAAGCCCCCTGCATGCCGCGGGCCTGGGGAGCCCGGGGCAGGTGGGGGGTGTTGGTCCAGGCAAATGCAGCGCTCCCCACAACTGGCTGAACTCAGCAACTGTGAACTTAAAGGAGTTGCTGAGCCCTCCCAGGCCTGGGCCGGGACCTTCCCTGGCAGGGAACAGAAGGAACTGGCAGCGGCCAGGCTCACCTGTGGGCCAGTCCTAGTGAAGGATGGCGCGGACCCAGCCCACCCCTGCCTTCCCGGCACTCCCTTTGGTCTGGGGGACAGAAACCAGATTCACAATGACTATACATCAGGGCTCAGGCCATGCCTGTGCAAGTAGGGGGTGTCTGTGGGAGTGGGGTGTCTGTGGGAGTAGCAGGTGTCTGTGGGAGTAGGGGTACCCAACGCAGAGAAAAACCAGACGGCCGGCTCCGTGCAGGTGCCCTGCCAAGCGCTGGACGCACATCGTCCCTTTTGGTGCCCACAGCAGCTCAAGACGTAGCCCTGGCCCCGAGTCCCTTCTGCAGAGGAGTGGGTCGGGGGGTCAGGTGTGCCTGCCCTAGCCTGGGGCGGGGGGAAGGGGTCGACCCAGGACTCACCTGTTCCTGGTACTTCCCGAGCCAGCTGTCAGGATGCTGCTCAGCCCAGGAGCAGGGCGCAGCAGGGACCCAGGGGACAGTACAGAGACAAGTAGGCGCTGGCGGGTCCTGAGGGTGGGGGTCGTTGCTGTAGCTGCTCCGTGGAGCTGAGACCTGGGGTGCTTGGGCTGAGGCAGGCAGGTTGTGCCCGGACAGGGTGTTTGGGGCCCGTCTGTCCCAAGGGAGACAGCGATTGCCACTCCGGGGAGGTGGGGTCCTCCTGGCACCTGCACCCCGGGACGCCAGGAGCTGCGGAGCCCTCCTGCCTGGGGTGGGGGGTCGGGGTCCTCAGCCTGCGGGCCCAGGAGCCACAGCCTCCTTTCTTCCCGCCCAGGAAACACCTCCGATCCCTCCAAGAAGAGCTACGTGGTTCAGTGGCTGTCGCGACCGGACCCCGACTCTCCAGCCCAGAAGACGTCGTCAAGTAACCGGCCCGTTTATAACTCTGCCTTTGCCCTCCAGTGCATGCCCTGCGCCTTGTGGAGCTTGCCGTGGGCGCCCCTCCTCTCTTTCTATGGAAAACTCCCCTGACTCTTCCTGAGCGCTCTCTTGGTTGAATCTGTTTTCTCCGGGCCTCTGTGCTCGGCTGTCTCCTTCGGAGCCGCCTGGCCGCCTGGCCGCGAGGGCCAGCCTCACAGAGGCACGCCCGGGGCGCCGGCCTCTTGCGGGGGCGCCAGGACCCGGTGATGGCTTGTAAAGGGGCAAAGATCTGTCGTGGTGCTGGAGGGGCCCGAGGCCAAAGTGCACATGTGA